TGCCCAGATCTTGAAACTAGAGGCTTAAGTCCATGAATTGGGAGAATATAATGAAGATCTCTCAAACCAGTTGAGGAAGGAGTCAATGGATGGATTGGAAGAAGATGAAGATTTAAATTTAGAACCAAAATCGGTGGAACCAACAATGATTAATGCAATAAGTGTTCAATCGGGTGGGCCAAAGGAAATAGTAACTTTGTAGAGTTTTGTTAAGTAGTTTTTAAATAAGTAACAATTGTATGTTTGCGAGGACGCTGCATAGATAGGAGTGAAATTATGTAGAATATATATTAATTTGTTTCTGTAAGATATTGATAAAATAAACTAATAGTCCATAGAATAGTCAATTCAAAAAGACAGATGGTTAACTTAATTATTAAAAGTAATTAATTATAGGATTGCGGTTAGAATCTAGGAATAAAGAGTATATATATAAGAATTGTAGAAGTTAGTCTAAGGGCCACACTGTGATAGTCATGAGTCGGGGTAAGTTTGGTGCTACTTCTTTGTTTCTTTGTTGTTGAAGAATAATGATAGTTTCTGAATACTGTGAAGTAAATCTGTGGAATAAATCAGAGATTGATTTATGAGTTATTGATTATATAATTGAAATACTGTGTAGTTGAATTATTGTGAGAAGATATTGGGAGTTTGTTATCACATTCTGTAGAAGTTTGTTAATGGAGGGAAGATTATGATTATTGTTTATTGACAGTTGCGTGTGTTTTGACAGAAAAAGTCTATGATTACAGAAATTGTGTGAAGACAAATTGTTTGGAATAGAAATCTGGTATTTTTGTTGTTGGATGGAATTTATGTATTTGGAACAATCTTTTAAGACAGTGCGAGAATTAGACTTTGTTATTATCAATGATTGCAGAATACTATTAGGAAGTGGAAAGCATTGTAGTATTCTTTGGTATTTTCAGTGATTTAGAATATAGTTAATTGTGTGACCTTAATAACTAGAGCTCATGTATTTAGTCTTTCCCTGTGTTTGAATCTCCCTATATAAGTTTATTTTGAAAGGAATTTATAGAATAAGTAAAACGACAATTATAATGTCCATGTACTAAATTTATTACTATTTATAATTTAATAAATAGTAATAAATAAGAATTGATAAAAAAAAATTATGTAAAAAATATTTTAAGCAACATTGAAGAAACTTTTGAGATGCATTTTAGATTCAATAGATTTCTTTAAATATAAAAAATATGGCAAAACTGTGTTTTATACTAACATGGATTTTCTTTTTTTGTAAATTTTTTATTCATTATTTTCACATTTATGTAACATCGTTTAGAACTGTATAAGTTTTTTTTGCCATAGAATTGTCTTACAGAATAAAAATATCAATATTGATATCTAGCATTCCTGTTCTTTTTTCTTTTTTCTTTTAGACATGTAGAGGGTCAAGCATATAGATGTGAATCAAGTCCAACAAATTTGCAACCTGAAATGGTATTTTGAACAGGTTTTCTCTGTGACCAAATCAGCAACCTGCATTTTGAAACCTAATATTGGGATTGAAACAAGTATGAACAGGTTTACTCGTTGTCTTATTAATTGAGTTAAATCCGCAGCTGCTGATTGTTATGTAAGTAGCACTTCAGGTGTTGATCACAACTTTGTTACTTGTTATAAATTGTATAGATGAATTCAAGGAAGACATGAGAATGATGTTTGATGTTGGACGAGTTCAATACATTTTTATGTAGGTTTGAAACTTGCATCTAATTTTTTGAATTTTCAGTTTTCTTTTTGATGTTTTGTTCAATTTTTTTGTGTTTCTTTACTTTGTTACCTTAGATGGATAAAGTGATATTAAAGATATATTAAAAATTCTATTTCAGAATTTAAATCAAATGTTCTTTATAAATATATGTAAAAAAATTATTTTATGATTATTAAATATTGACTATCCAATTACATAATACAATAAATATTAGTAAATAATTTGTCTTTAAAAAAAAGATGTTAAATTAATCCTAATATTTACTAAATCGACCTACCTATCATAACCATCTTTGAAAATAGATCATATTCAGATCCAAAACTCCTTGTCCTACATCTTTGTTCTTCTCATCCCTCATCTCCATTCTTCTTGTCTCCTTGTTTCAACTCCCCTATCCATCCATTTTCTCCTTGTCTTGACCTCCTTATCCTCTTCCCCCCAAATTTGATCTCTTTAATGTTATTGATCCCAAAGATAAGGTTTCTAAATGCTAGTTTGATTAAGTCTATCAACTTTATTACATGCCAATACTCTTAGAAATAACAAAATTATCTAATTATATAAATTTCATAAAATCAAATTTCCAGCAAAATGAAGGATGATGTTAATTTCACTTTTTTTATTAGTGCTCTATTTGATTAACAATGAATACTTAAGTATACTTTAAAAATAATAGAAAAATCTTAGAACATTCCACTATTAGTTGAAAAACTTCATGACTGGAAACACAACACTATTACAAGCATAATTTTAAAAAACAAAACAACCATAGTTAATTCTTTATAAGACAAACTTTTGTGATAGATTCAATTATGTTTAAGAAACTAAAATAGAAAGTAGTTATAATATTAATAATAATGATAATATCAAAAAAAATCTCATTTAATCAAATATAATCTTTTAAAAAATAGCAGCCACAAGTGGACAATATTTCCAATAAGCTTAACCAAATATCTTTTTTTGAATTGTTGGAGCTTTATAAAACTTTAATTTTAATTTCATTGAATAATAGTTATCTACAATTGTAAGTAGGTTCACACTTTATTTATTTATTTATTCATAGATCTAAAGGATTATTTGTGCCTCCCTCCTCTCTCCTCCCTTCCCTTTCAAGAACAAGGACAAGAAGAAATGGAATTGTGACGATGAGATGAGGACAAGGGCTAGGAATGGGGACTAGTAATAGAGACTAACAACAGGGACTAGGAATAGGAATTGAGAACAAGGATAAGGGCTAAGAATTGAAATAAGGGCGAGAGAGGGAGAGAGATCAAGACATAGAGACATAAGGGTCAATACAAGAATGGAAACAAGGACTAAAAATGAGTCATTGGAAATTCTAGATTTAGGTATGATCTATGTCCAAATATTTCTTAATAATGGTTAAGATAGTTGGGTTGATTTAGTAAATGTTTGGGTCAACAAAACACTCTTCTTAAAAAAATTCCAAACTATCATTAATTTTAAAATATTAAAAAAAATCTCATTATGTTTAATAAAAATTATTTTTAATACCAAAGTATTGTTTAATGGTGCCATGGAAGTCTTACAAATCACATAAAAAGCAAAGATTCTATGTAGAATAGTAGTAAAACATTGTTAACATATATCTTGAATCTAATTGTGATATTTTTACAAGAAATAATTTTTTAATAGTTTTTTTTAATTTTATGTTTATATTACTAATATGAATTTTGCAATAAAAGTTTTTATATTATATTATGATCAATCATGAATATTTAAAAAAATTAATATAATCATTTCAAGAATTATTTAAAATATCTTTATATTTATGATTATTATATATGAAATAAATATCTACAAATTACATTAAATAACTATTAAGATGTACTGATTTTAGACTTTGTAGGATGCAGCATATAAACTATAACATATAAAGTAGCAACACAAAAGTTATTGTTATAGTTGAAACATGGATGCTTCGTACTTCTGCAGCTGATAAAATAAATCTTAGTACCAAAAATTAGTAAGGAATCATAAAGAAATTAACAATACAAGCTATCTAAATATAATCAGAAGATCTAAAATTTCTGAATACAAATCTGGTAAAATATAGAAAAATAATTATATTCTTATTCTTTAATAAATACATAATTAAGTTTTAGAAAATACACATATATACATACATGCATACATACATATGTAACAGTCAAATTGATAACATAAATTTATATGTAATGAATATCCTATGAAAATTGTGCCAGTAGCACACATTGGTGTTAAATAGAAAATTAAGGTTTAGAAACATATTGGTAGGGGTGATTCCTTTTAGACTAATTGGTTTTCGACATTCAATTTATTGCTATTTTTTTTTAGAAAAAAATGATTACAAACCTGGAATTTGTTGTATTTGTGCATAACAATTAGATGTAAGAAATAATTTTGCTCAAGCATCATATATTATGTTTTATTACAAAACAAGGTAACAAAAGAAGGCATTTAATTTAAGACCCATACATTAATGTAATCTCAGAAAAGTTTGTTTTATAGACTTCTTTCATTACAATCAAGTGGATGAATAAATAAGTATAATTTTAAAATGAATCAATTCAAATAAAATGAAAAAAAAAATCTAATATACAATGAAACATTGTAAGAAAATTATTTACAAACACCGTACTAAAATTAAGCTGAACTATATATATATATATATATATATATATATATAATTTCAAAAGATTAGGTTCCTCAAACTTGCGGAAATCTCAATAGAGGTTGGGTTTAATAATATCATGAGATTTTTTAATTTTACAAAAAATTATAATGAGTTTGGAATATCTCTCTCTCTCTCTCTCTCTCTCTCTCTATCTATCTATTTTCTAGGTGCAGTGTATTTTATTGTGTCAAACCATATAACCACATTTTGACTAAGAGATTAATCCAACACCTTATTTCCGATATATATATATATATATATATATATATAAAAGAAAAAAAGAAAAGGGGGAAAAAAAATAAAACTTGATTTTTATTTTCTGAGACTCTTTTCCAACAACACTTGGTTAATTATTGTTGTAATTCATCAATGAGCTTCAAAATGATGGTGGGCTAATACGTTTGTAAATGCTCTTGGATTAATTGATCACATCCAACGGCCCGGATTGTTCGCGACTACGAGAATCTTCGTACGGTGTTCGGATACTCTATAGCCGTTCTGTTGGCATCTATATCCGTGGACGAGCCGGTCACCGTGGCAGCTCTCCTTCTGTCAAGCACCTGTTCCATAGGGCCCATTCTTTGTGCTCAGGACTTGTCGTCGCTGCCATGGTGTCTTCGTTTCCTCCATCTCCATCTCCCAGCATTTGAGCACATGGACAAGAAGCTTGCTGAAAACCTTTCGTCGTTGTGATTTCTGCAAATTTATCATCAATGGCACCAACTGTCGCCGTCCTCGCCGGACTGCGTGCCTTCCGAACCAAGCGCGCATCTCCCGCAACCATGTCCCCATCAGGAGGTGGATACCTGTGTCTTTTCAATCCTCTTCTGCTGCATCAATCTGTGTTCTAGTAGTTTCTCAAGTTTAGTCTTCGTTCTTAACAAGTGCTGTATCGTTTGTGCCTTTTTGTTGCTTGTTTCTCGTTCCTTGGAGAGTCTCGATGGAAAATCTTGAAAACTTTCTGTTGCTTCTTCCTAAATTTTGTACTCGGTCATTGTATTTGAGTGTGAAGCATCTTCTTCAGAACTAGAGTTCGTGCGAGGTTTATGACATCTTTTTCTCATTGCAGCGATGTTATAGTTCACGGCAGGTGCTTCATTTTTACAGCCTCCGTTCTTGAGATCTCATCGAACTTTTACTGAAATTGTGGCACGGTTCTGGTTTCTGTTTTTGAACTTCTTTTTTTGGTATGGTTCGCATCTTGATGCAGGGTTGGTTCGCCAGCTCCACGCGTGCAGACCTAACGAAGTGCGCGCTTCTGGAAGCCGATACTACAGTAATGATTACATTCATGCGGAGAGCATGTACAATTTGACGGCGATGTCCGGTCGCAGTGTGAAGTTTGGAGCGCTTGTGTGGGGCGGCGTGCTGACGGGGATCCTCGTTCCTCTGTGCGCTTGCAATTTTCAACAGCGAAAGCCAAGAGGAGGTAGCTCTCGTTTCTTCAATTTCATGCATGCATAGGCAACAAGTTTGAGGTGGAAGGGCTGTATTTCTTTTTTTGATTCAGCGTATGTAACATGGATACAAAACAAGCCTCGAGAGGCAAACACTCTGACATGGACAAATATACAGACAGAGAATGATTCATTGATGCAAAAACCAAGTAAAATATTCTATTAAGAAACCCATCCAAATTGCAAAAAGAAACAATTATATTGTATTGCTCACATATTAAACTTCGATTAATTTATATATATCTCAATTACGCCATTCCGTGTATAAATTATCTGAAAAGGATGCATAAAGTATAATTTAGCACAAACACCAGTTCCGGTGTTTATCAAATGAATATATTTATGATTGTTATCAAATTGTGGTGGGTAGTGAAATTATCAGTATGTGTGTCCTGATATACAATACAACTGATTGCAAATGCAGGTGCTTAATGTCTATTCTTTAAAATGCTCCACAATCTATTACAACAATGATTGGAATTAGAATTTTCCTTCAATATAGAATGTTTTCTTGTAAATAAAGATCTGGGTTAGTGTTATATATTTTTGGATTGATGAAACCTATTACAAAATTTATAAAGATTAACATAATTGAATATAAGTTTTTGATTGATCTTTTTTTCTTTAAGATTTGTCAATATATAATAATCAAGTATGTAAAGTTAATCATTTAATCATAATTAATTGCCATAATTATCAAATTATATCTAAATTATATAGCATCAATAACAAATAATTATAAAAAGCTCAAAGAACATAAATACATATACAAGAAAATATAAGACAAAACCAATGAAATAAAATTAACTGAATTCTTTCTATACTTGTTTATAAAGATTAAATATCTTTTTACTTTATTTATAAGATTCATGAAGTTCTTGATTCATATTTTAATTGCTAATATAAAATTTTAATAAGAATATTTTATTTACAATTTTTATCAAAAATATTTTAGTATAATTTCATCAAATGATAATTTTTACTTAGTTGTCAAGTATACAATAAAAAAAAATATATATATATATATATATATTAAAGAATAGCTCAAAGATTTTAAGATGATTTAAATTTTAGTTATGTTTTTTTATTAAGAAATATACAATAACTAAAAACTCACAAAATATTAAGAGTAATTTAATTTTTTTTTTTTATAAGACTTGAGATATAAATTTATCTTTGAAGTTAAACATGTGCCAAGGATATAAATCAAAAAGAAACCAAAGAGTTAATAAATTCTAATGTCACTAAAAATGAGTAAATAAACACTCAATGATACTTATAATTATTAAAATAAAATAATTATTATCAAAGAGAAGATGGGTAGAGACTCTTGAAATAAAATCAAGGACAAAAAATGTGTTGACAAGAGTGAAGAAGGCTACACTCTTGCTTCTATATATATTGTCTAATTGTAAAACTAAGTAGAAATATTTTGTAAGTCATTTATTAAATGTCCAACCTGTGGGATATGTGTCTAATTTGCAAGACAAGTTTTTAACAAATAAGCCACATCTTCAACTTTTACAACAAGTATCCAACATGAGTAACTTGTGGCTAACTCATAAAACAAGTAGTTAATATGTACAACATAAAACAAAATTCTAGGTAAATTTTTTAACCTACTAATTATCTACTAACACTTAGAAATTCAAATCTATGCCTCTAAAGTTTCTAATAAGCTTTACTACAAGATATTATCAAATTCACTTACTTTTTTAAGTTTATTTAATTAAAATAATTATTAATCAAAATATGTATATCTATACCAACATGCATATTAAAAATATATATTATTATTATTTTTATACATACACATACATATTCTCTCTTTTTCTCTCTATGTGTATATATATATATGTATGTATCTATTCAAAATATATTATATTTCTTTATACATCCATCTATTTATGAAGTCATTTTAATGTTTCAAGAAATGAAAACAATAGTAATAATCTCAAAAATCAAATTTTTTTTCAAAAATCATAATCCATAGATTTTTTTAACTTTATTATAAATTATCCACTTTATAAGAAAAAATGGATTTTTTAAAATTATTTTTATGTAATTATAATAATTTTTTAAATATAATAATTTAAATATTTATTTTTAATTATTTTATAAATATTTAGAATACTCATGCTTCAATATATTACTTGTAATGAAAAAAAAGACTCTTATGTTGATATTGTAAAGTCAAAATTTATCTATATTTTTAATAAAATTATATTTACCTTGTAAAATTATTAAAATTTATAAATTGGATCCAATGATATATAATTTTTTTTATATTCATCATATGATGCTTGTGGTATTTTATCTTGTTTAAGCTTGCTACTTTAAGATACAAGAAGCTTGCTTGATTAGGCCTATAAACAAGCAAGTGGATTACCAAGCTTTTTACAAATTTTATGAGGTGCATCTTTTTATAAATTATAAACATAATCTCTATATATCTTAATTAGAGCCACTCTTTAGATTATATGTGAGCTTTAAAATATCATTTTTTATCTCAATAAATAAAATAATTTATATAATATAATCATAATTATTAATCAATTTTTATACAAGCTAGATTTACTTCAAATAGTAGCTAATAAGATACTAATATATCATTTTTAAACTAAGATTTATATTCTAATTACCAAACATGTCTATAATTTATCTTTGATTTTAAAAGACATGATCCACAATAAGATTATAAAAATAAAGTTTCACTCTTATATCACCAAAAAAGAAAAAATAAACAATTTAAAGATAAAATTATAATTATAATTACAATTAATTTTTCCAAATACAAAAAAGACTATGAACATTTAAATCAAGACAGAATACAAGAAAGATAGAATAGAAGAAATACATTGACAAGAATGAAAAATGATTCACCCTTGCTTCTATATTTACTCTGTATTAAAGAACTACATGGCAATGTCTTATAGGCCATATCACACATATCCAACTTCCACGTCATATGTCTAATTTATAAAAAAAGTTATTGCCATGTGCACCAAATAGCCAACTTGTCATAAAAGTAGCTAAATAAGCAATATGTAGCTTACTTGTTAGCTTAGTAGTCAACCTATTAATTACTTATAAACATGTGTAAATTCTTCAAAGCTTCTAAAAGGATCCTTAACAAAATCTCAAAAATTTAACTTACTTTTACTTACTTCTATAAAATTCTATTTATTTAAATTAATATATTAGTAATTATAGCTAATAATTATAATAAAAAATTATAATAAAGATTAATATAATTATAATATTTATTTCATATTATTTAAAAATTAAAAATATCTTTTATTTTATAAAATTATATCAGATTAAATATTTTATAGTTTTTAAAAAAATCCAAATAAATTTTTTATTGCAACCAAATTGGATTAGAAGTTATTAGAATTTTAATAATTAAGCAATTTGTTAATCTGAGATAAAATTTAAATTTAAAATATAATTGATTTTATTTATTATAAATATTTTTATTTACCAACTTTATTTCTTATATTAATGATTTCTTCAAAATACTAATGATTTTTTTTTAAAAAATAATTATAAAATTATTAATATTATAATTTATTAATTAAAATTTTTTATACTTTATATTTTATAAAAAAATATTTTATTATGTGGTATGTAAATATTTTATAATAAATTCGACTTTTATAACTTAAAAAAGTTAAACCTAATGATATTCTAAAAATATAAAAAATATAAAAATAGTATAATTATCTAATTTTTTTAGATAATTATTTAGTAATTTTTTCTCTTTTAATGCATTTAAAAAGCAATAATAGAAGTTTCTTATAATTTACATAATTTTCATGAAAATTTTATGAATCATGAAAAGATCTTTTATAACTTTCTTATTTGTTGGTATATATAAAGACTAGACTAAGACCACCATAAATTTTATCAATTAATTTTTTATACCTTATTTTTTTTAATATATGTAATTTTTAATTTTATAAGATTAATATTTTAATTTTTTGAGTTGAATATGTGCATACTACATTTTACTTGATTTATGTACAATTTTTTTTTGAATTGCATCTATGTAACAATAGAAATACTAATGATTTTTATGTATTTTTTGTATATTAATTTTTTAATTTGATGATATAAAATCTATTAGTTTTATATCTAAATTATTTATATTATACATAATATTAAAATAAATATTTTAGATATAAAAATAAATAAAATATTTTTATTAAATTTTGATGATCATCAAATATTAGTCAATAAAATTAGTCTATTATATTATTACTTTTAGATATAAAATCTAATAATTAAATAACAACATGTCTTCAAGTTAAGCAATTTTGTATAAGAGGCATTGTCTATTATTTGAACAATTATAAAATGGAGGCACTTATATTCATGTTTTGGAATTACATTAAGAATCACAATTGATTCATTCCTCTTAGATTATGTTTATTTATTGTTGAGTATATTATCATATAGTATAATGCTAACATAATATTAGAGCAATTTACAAAAGAGAGTATTAAAGACTCATCTACATTGTAATCAAAACCAAGTAAAGGCGGGAACTATAAATTCAGTCACAGCTTAATCTAAAATGTTGTCCGATCTAGACAACTACAAGATTAAGAAAAATACAATTTATAGAGTACTAGAAAAAGAAGACTTATGGAAGGTAGTACTTCCAACAAAAACTTATTCATTAAAGATACTATACAAACTAATAATAATACCTAATAACAAAGCATTATTGGATATATCAACTTTAGATCTAGAAACTGAGGAAATCAAAGAAAGAATCCATGAAGCTATTGATAGTGTTGGACTAATTATGCTCAATGTAAAGAATATTACATACAAAAATAAGAGCAATGAACTTCTTTAGATTATTCCTAAAATATATGTTAAAAACTTATATGCTTAATATAAGTGATTCTATAGCCACGTAGAAAATTCAAGCAAATATATATTCAATATAGAATATTGCTGGTATCATATAAATATAAGATAAGTAGAAGAACCTTAAAAAAATAAATAAAATACGTGTATGATATATCAAATAACTTAAGAAGGATCAATGAACTACCATTTGATATTGTAACAACTTACATTATTTTCAAAAAAAATCTTATAAAGTTTAAAACCTTTGTCAAAATGTAGCAAACAAAAAGAATCACTTCAACTCTCTCAAATCTAGCCAATAAATTATATATGGAAGAAATAGAAATAAAACTTTAAGCTAGTTCAAATAAAAATGCATTCATATTCAAAATT